ACATTACAGATTATATATAGATTTACTCAATTTTCTAAATCAATTTTCTAGCTTATTATGACAGTATTTTTGAAAAATAAAGATACTAATTAAATATTTGATGAAATTGTATATTTAAAGATTCGTTAAAAAAATAGTTATTAAAGAAGAAAGTAAAAAGTTATTAAAACCGGAAGAATATAAAAATATTCCAGACGACTTCCCGGGTTAAATAAGTATAGATGTGACAGTAGATTTAACGCGGTAATGGCAAAGACAATTTGTTCTGCTTACACTAATTCCTATGCTGAGAACCGCATTAGGATAATCCAAAGCATGAAGAGTTTTATATGTTCCAGCATCGTAAACCTTAACATGCCTGTCCAACGAACCAGACAGTATTCTATGACCATTAGAAGCAATTTTCAGGCAAGTTACAGTTTTATGATGTTGTGTAATTTTCGCAACCAATTTACCACCCGCGAGAGCATCCCATACTTTAATATCTGTCCCACCTTGAAATTACAGATAAATAAATAATAAACAATTTTATATATAAACTCTCTGTATGAAATTGTATATAATGTATATATAATATATATAAATATTATACATATTTACTGAAAAATTTATAACATTTTTTTAATTAAACAATAATAAATGATTTATTAAGACCGTATAATGCGAACACACGAGTAACAATTTAATGCCTGTAACGGTATCAAAACAAAATCTTAGATGCTTATAGTCCATATGAATTTATATATTATATTACATAATATATATTCATCTGAATTGTTCATCAAAATTTTTTTAAAATTATATATAGATACATGAAATATAATCAAACTATCATAAATATTATACCTGCTGATAGAAATATTCCTCCAGTCGGCAAGAAGAGTAAACTTTCTACTGGTGCGTTATGATTAACACTAAATACCTTCTTATTCGTTCTGGCATCATACATATTCACAATTTTATCATATCCGCCGGATAGTAACACATCAGAGGATACAGGACTCACTGCGCCGGCTCTGACATAATCTGTATGTTCATTGAAGCTTGTCAATTGTTTTTCACTAGGTATGTCCCACAAAGCTACAGTCTTATCGTCTGAAAATGAGGCAACGTGAACATCATCTGCTGTGAAGAAAACTCTGTGCACTGCAGCCTTGTGTCCAGAAAAGATTCGCAACACGCTATTTGAACTGATGTTGAAGAGTTTAATCACTGCTTCTTCTCCACCAACACACAACAGCTTGCCATCTCTACGAAAACAACCTCCATATGCAGCTTCTTTGAACTTGCTGTAAGTTTTTGTAGCTAATTTTGTGATAGGATTATACAGTTGTACTCGTACTGAGCAGGTTGTTGCGAAATAATGTGGCTCTACTGGCGAAAAATCAATGTAGTCTATCGGACCAAATTCTTTTATTAAAACTGGAGGCTGTAAACATACATAATTATCACAAATAATTTATCATTCTTTATAAACATAATTTTAATAAATGCATAGACTATAAAAATTAATCCTTAGTACACATGATGACTTTCTGATCCTTTACTCAGAGGGTTATTCATGTTCCAGATTAATTTTCATCACTTTAATAAATACAAAAAATTTATTAAATACTTCTTATATATACTTCAACATCTTTAGAAAGTATTTCCAAGATTATATATTTAAAAAAATTATATCTAAATGTTATTACTAATTACTTGATGCCCCTAGTTTTTTGAAGAAAAAAAATATGCTGAAGCACGAATGATCATATGTATTAAGAATTAAAAATTTAAGAAATGTTTTAAAGATATCACATTTATTATCGGCAAATGAAAATATAAATCAAATGAAAGCAAAAATATAGAAAAGTTTTATTAAAAAAATATAAATTAATAGTTTATAATTATATTTATATTATAAATACAGATTTTTTTTTTACTACTTTGTGAAACAGACTGCTTATTTTACAGTCTTATTTATTGGTGTATGCTATATTCCCATCAGAAACCATCAAATAAAGGTAGTAGTACATATCAGATAACATCATTCTAACAAAGAAATTTTAAAGAAAGATTTTCCTCAACAAATTAGAAAATTTTTCTGTATGAATCAGAATGTTTATGACATTTGAACGAAGAAAAGATTTTTTTTAAAGACAAATTAGAAAATGCTTTCTATATAAAGTAGAACGTATATTTTTTTAGCCTTTTCTTTATATACATTTAAAATGTTACAAACAACATTCCATAAGTAAATCGATCAGAGCTTTTAACTTAGATTAATACTATCGAAAAAAAAATCTATGTGTATCATAATAATGAAATTGTTCTCTTTCTTCTTGTTATTTTATTACAAAACGTGAGAGAAAAATAAAACGTAAAAACAATCGGTGAATCTACTCAGGTTATGTACCGCACACGTGGGCGTAGTATTAAAATCACGTTTTTTCCATACAAATTTCTTACATACACATACCGCATATTTTTTCCAATATATATTGTCCTCAGTTAATTCCGGTCCTGTTCGGGCAAACACTTTGGTATTTATTTTCTTAAACGACGTCATTCTCAAAGTTATCAAGTCTATAAAAATAGTACAAAATGCGTATTATCGAAAGATTTTCGGCGTATCCAATATTTATGATAGTTTCCAAGATAGAACAGTAGGTTCGTTCGCGTTGCTTGAAATCTTCAAAATTTTCGCACTTAAAACGAGATAAATATATATATTCAGGCGTTGAAGAAAAAGAAAGCAAAGATGCTGAGTGCAAAAAGTGCAAGCAACGTGCGCGGAATTGTGTGGAATGTAGAATAGTTTATCGTTGATACAACGGGTTTATTTTTTGTAGCTAAACTATTTTGGAATTTAAAGTGAGATATATATATTTAATATTTGGCGAAAGCGAGAAAGAGAGATTTTGTGCAGTCTACTGTAGGAATAGGCCTGTTCTTTTTAACTGAACTTCTTGCACAGTTCATCTTTTCTCTTTTTCTCTTTAACGTCGAGAGAAAAGAAAGAAAAATAAATCGTGCAAGAACTTTAACTAAAAAGAACTTCTCATAAAACCTAACGTAAATCTTATCAAATTTGTGGATAAAAAATTATAACTTTTTTCTATGACTTTGCGAACGCATTGATATAGCATGCGCGAATCGCTAGGCACATTCAAGCCAGATACACAAGTAGGGACCAATCCTGTTCAATCGCTTGGCGAATTGATTATTTTGTCCAATAATAAAAGTACCTATTAAATTTATTTTTTATTGCTGCGCTGCGTTAGAATTTTTGTCCTCGCTTTTATCAAATTTTAAATAACATTTTAAAGCCCACACAAAAAATGTGAACAAATTAGCCAATCACAGAACGCACGGCAATAACATAAATAAAAGTAAATCCAAAATGTTAATTAGCTTATTTATTTTTTACTACTTATTGCTTAATCTTTGTTGTATACCGCAGTCTTAAGTATATATAAAAAATATACAAAGTTCAGCAACAATAAAAAGAAATAAACATATTCTCTTCGATCCGCCATCGACCGTGTGCAAAAAGCTTATTTTGCGACTATTAGAAATTTTCTCGCTGAAATAAGAACATTCCTTTAGAGTTAAAAGTATTACCCAATCAGCGAGAAGAAAAGTTCCAACAGTTGCAAAATAAACAATCTGCTGAACGCGGCCGTCGCCATTGTGCGGAACGTTCCTTACGTCTTGAACTAAGCAACGATAGGATGGAGGGGGGAGTTTAAATGACCCACTGGTGAGGAGGGAAAGAGGGGAAAGTCAAGCTGATGTTGACAGTTGTAGGTGTGCACGTGGTGGAAAACCATCGTAGATCCCACACCTCACATGCCGGTCATTCCTATCATGCTGTCGGGATAAACGTCATCATCTCCCCCCCGGGTGGCACGCAGAGTTGAGATCGTTGTCGATGCTGCAACGACGGTCTCTCTCGGATTATTAAGGCGCTGAGAAGCGTCGCCTCCAACATGGCGGTGTCGTTGGTGCAGTCACCCCGTGCGCTTCTCCGCTCATCATGACCACGGTGGATCGTATCGGCTGCGCATCGTCTCTCCGTAGTTCCAGTCGCACGGCACTCCAGAACGGGCGTGAACGACGTCACCCGTAGGTTTACGGTAAGCGAGCGAGGTTACACGCGTCAACTCCAGCTACTCCAAGAGCGTGCAACGAGGTACGGGTCCTCGACGGACAGTTGACCCTCCTTTTTACAGCGCGGTGCTGCGATCTCGATCTCAGAAGGATCCAGGAGTCAACCATCCTGGTTATAACTGTACGTCTAGTGTATGTTGAGTTCGAGAGGAAGAGGATGCCTGCCGCGATCCGACTATCATAAATCACCACTCCGTGACTTTCATTGTCTTCGTACAAGGCAACTGTAATTATCGAAAAACGGTAAGCAATCGTAAAAAGAAAAAAAGGAGAACTCGTCTCATTCGAATTCCTTTATCGGAAATAATTAGAGACAATAAAACTGATAGAAACTTCGGAATCGTTGCAAAAAAAAAAATCGAAACAAACGCTCAGACATTTCAAACTTATACAAAGGAAAAGTTTGTGAATATAATTATTTTGATTCGTAAAAAGAAATTTCTAATTTTGTTTTTTCGGAGACCTATTCTTTAAAATGTTTTTGTTTATATCTCCGTTCGCTTTGAAGTTCACAGCACTTTAAATATCATTTTTAATCCTTGTTTTGTTTATCAAATATTAAACAAGGACAAAAGATGCTTATAAACTGTTAGCACCGAATACAGCCATTCTAATTCATACAAAAAGAATTTTCTATATAGATTCTTCTTTTTTTCTAATATCTCAGAGAAACATCTCCTTTAAAATTTCTTTGTCGTCAAATTATTTATATATACAAATTCTGATATGTCATTGTAAGTTTTATTTTCATCGTTTAGAACGTTTAACAAATGTTTATCGAGTAATACTATGTATAGAAATGCTAATATTTATTTTGTCTTTATCTTAATGTCAATTTTGTGTTGAAAAAATGTTTTATTTATCATTATTTTTAAAATAGGGTTTCTTAAAAATTGACTTATTAGAAAGAGAGAGAGAGAGAGAGAGAGAGAGAGAGAGAGAGAGAGAGAGAGAGAGAAATATTGCTCTTATATAATAAATATAGTAGTAAATTAATATAATTTATACTATCTAATTATACTATCTAATTATTCTAAAAGTAAACATTCTAAAAATATGTATTGACTGAAAATTTTGTTTATTTTAGATCGCAGCTGATTGTTGAAGATATTTCTTGACGAATGTATCTTGTATCAGCCTACCTATAAATAAAACTACATTTGTTATATTTTTAACAATACCTAGATTGTCGATGTTAATTGACGAATTATATTTTATTTATCACACATAAGCAAATAGTCCAATTAATTATTTCCAAAGACTTCTATAAGCTTGCAAGAAACAGGAGTAACAGAATAACTATTTAATCTAATAACTAATTTAATTTATAGAAAAATTAATTAATTTATAGAAAAAAGAAAGTTTTAACAAATTTCTTTTTTCTAGAAGTAAAAGTGTGGAAATAAAATATAGATTCATTTTTATTTA